GAATCGCTATCCAACTACAGAAACAGTTTCCCCTCCCTTGGTGTTCACACCTACTGCTAGCAGAGCCCCTCACTCTCCCTGACCTGCCTCTGGAAATTTCCATTACTTGCATCTGAAGAAGTGAGGTTCTTACCCACGAAAGCTTATGCTCCCAGTACTTCTGTTAGTCTCAAAGGTGCCACAGGACCCTCTGTTGCTTCAGTCAGTGTGGTGTCTTACCATCCAAGGTGCCAAATGGAGCCAGTCTGGTCTTACTCTTAGGCAAGTCTACATTCAAAATGCTGCAGTGGCACAGCTGCACCGATGCTGCTGCCCTGCTGTAGCACGTAAATGAAGATGCTCTAAGCTGATGGGAGAGAGCTGCCCCATCCGTGTAGTTTATCCACCTCCCTGAGAGGCAGTAGCTATGTCAATGGGAGAAGCTATGTTGGTGGGTGTGCACGCTGTGGTGTTTACCTGCATAGATAAAGTTTAATCAAACTCCATTTTTAAAACCACCCATGGTCTGGGAATGGAAAAGGAGCTTGTTGAAGCAGGCTCTGTCCTTCAAGGTCCTTAAGATCACAGACTCTAGCACAGCATTGTTATGGGGGTATAGCTCAGTGGTAGAGTGTTTGAATGCAGATCAAATTGTCCTTTTTAAAATCCAAGTACCCCTTTAGAAGCCTTTTTTTAAAGGAAAACATAGTCATATCAATTTCCATTATGTTCAGGAGTTCCACTGAATGGGGATGCTTGAAAGGAATTTAAACACTCAAAATTTTCCTGTGCAAATGAATAAAAACCCAGCTAACCTGTCTGTCAGCTGAAATCAGTTCCAGTCTTCTGTGTCTAGTTTATGTTTTCATCAATTAAACAAAGGTATACCATGAATGCACATTTGCAGATCCCTGTTCTCCAGGGGCTATGCAGTGCAGAAGAACAAGAACCACATCCAGTTGGGGGTCAGGACTCCGATGAGCAAAGACATCTTGGTGAGGGAAAGGTCACCAGCATCTTGGCTCCTTCACATTCAGGCAACATCTGGGCCCCCAGAACAAGGCATGAGAAGAAGCCAGTGGCTTTGAGAAGGAAAATAGCCACCTAGAAGCTGGCTAGAGCTGCCAGGATCCCCGGAAATGCCACCATCCCATGTTCAGGAATAGTTGTTAGAAGGTGGTGTCTGCAGCAGGACCAAAAAATGCAGGGAAAAGCCCTCAAAAGGTCTAAGCTGCCAAGACCCAGACGATGGCCAAGATCCCACCAAAAATCAAGAAGGGAGAGAAAAAGGCTAAAGCCGCATCCAAAGCGGCCAAAGCCAGGGCTAAGGAGATGGTACCGAGAAAGAGCTGAAGAGATTTCCATTGGGATGACTCCTGCTCCCCAAATGGCTCTTTAGGAATCACCGTGGACTAGCCAGAGAGATCAAGGTCCCTCAGGACAAACAGCCCCATGGAAAGTACAGTGAGCTGGGGGGATTTTTTCTCTTCCAGAGGGGAAGTGCTGTGTTTTGTGAAACACCTCCCAGGTAAGTAATGCACTGGGAAGGCAGGTGCCCATAGCGCGTACATGGGCTCATTCTCTTTGATCTGCTTCTGCTGTTATTTCAGAGCCAGCACTAGCGGGAGTGTGTCCCTGTGACCTCACCAGCTGTACAATAGGCTGTGTCTCCATCTCAGCTTTGATTACGCAAGTTTTCAATTGATTCTTATTGATACAGACTGGGCTACTTTGGGGTTAGTTTTTAAGAGACTCTGGCTATTAATGCAGTAGAAATCCGGCAACAAATATTTCAAATGGGAAGTTTGGTGCAGTCATGTTTATTTGGCTGATTTTTCCCAGCCTGTTTCTACAAACCCCATAATCCACCACCTCATTGAATTTTTCACTTCAGTGGTAAGTTTATTATTTTTTAGTGCTAGTTCTTGAGTTGAAATAATCCCACATCTACACACACTCTGCTGGGGGTTGAAAGAATTTCACTTTTCAGATGTGGTATATGAACCCAAGCCTCTTACCAAAGACCGGAACACCCAAGTGAGGAGAAAATAAAGCTCTCTGTGTGGTGCAGTAGACCACTCAGACACCACAACACTATGCTTTTAATACTCCTTGTTTTCTACAGTGTTATGAGCTGTTTGGGGGAGGCCAACATGACATATTTCTTTCAAATTCTAAGGCCCTTCTTCAGCATAGTTCATTTTTATACACAATTACCATGAGTGAAATTTACAGGTTTCCTGGAGACCCTTGAGTGAGGTGTTGTAGTCTCACCACTGACTTATTATGTGAAGAAAAGATGTACACCAGGACTGAAGTAGAATCCAGACATTCAGCTTTATGAGAAAGTAATGGTGAACCTCAAACTCCTGCACTGTGAACCATATAGTCAAGAACTCACAATCTGTGCCAGCTTTTTTTTTTCAAAGTAGCTCAGCACTCAGTGTGTTGAGACCTTTTGAAAATC